ACCGTGTCCTCTTCGATGCTGAGATAGAGCTTGAAAACAGACAGCACGCGGAGGTCTCCGGGCTTCAAGGGAGTCGAAGGAACAGCATCTACGCGTGAAGCGGGGAAGAAGATTGACTGGAAGACACCACGATGTCGGTCTGCCCATGGACCATAGTTGATTATGCCACCAAATATCTGTATGTCCATACCATAATCTGGCGGAGCACATCCGTTCATGTCATATGGGCGCGCAGGGTCCACGTACTTACTGTGGTCCATGTCATTCGGCACAGGACCCGGTACGTCCCAGTAGAAGGAGATGTTGACACACGGACAGTCGGCGATCAAAGATGTCTTTGCATACTCGATACCATCCCACTCGCCGTGACCATCGTTGGTGGTATCGTCAAGATAACGCGCCAGTCCTTTCCAACGCTCGCGCCCGGGAAACGTCCACTGTGAGTTCAGAGCAGGGTTGTGGTTCCCGGAACTATTTTTGGTGTGAGTGTGGATTGAATCGTTATCTTTTGAAAAGAAACGAAAGAGGCTTGGGAGCCTCGTCAACCAGCGCCAATGCCTCTGATGACTGGCTTCCTTTTCAATGATGCTACCTTCCGAGGATCCCTCAGCAACTTCTTGCTTGAACTGTACGGCGGAATCAAGCTGTCCAATCTTGTAGTCGGGGTTAGGCTTCATATGGACCACGGGATGGGTGACTTGGAAATTGAACAGCTGCCGATACACATCCAGGGGTCCGCTGGTCGATGCATCGAGAGTGCCGGTTGCTTTTTCAAATTGCGCAGTCATAACAGCTAGCGTGTGCTCGTTCCCGACAACGATGGCGCCTTTGACAATGTCGACATGGACCGGGAGCAGCCTGAGGAAAGCGGGAAGGTCGGCCTTGGTGGGGCCAGGTGCAGTGGAGCGGCTTGTATCCTGGCGTGAGACTTTCTTTTCGGCTTGGGTATGTGACTTTTTCAGCTTATTATGGTGGTGGTGTTCGTTCTTCTCTGGCAGTTCCGATCCGGAAACGGAACCTTCGGGGGTCTTTTGCTGTGCGGCATCGCTCTCGGCCTTCTTTTGTACGGCTTCGATGATACCGTCATAGGCAGGGCTGCGGTTGTACAGGAAAGCCTCGATTCCCGACACTTTGATTGAGAAGCGACATGGCAGCTCCTTCCGCGTCTGCTTGCCTCCTTTTTCTGCCTTGTCCACGTTGCCACTGGCACTGCCGGATCTGGCACGGGAAGTACTCGAAAAGTGACTGGCGCTGTCACTACCAGGTGCAGAGCCGTCATCGGTATAGACGCCAGCATCTTTGACGCGACGCAGCCAGTAGTTCCAGGTAATGTACCCGCCATGTACCAGGATCGTCTCATTGTGACCGTGATATCGTATGTCTTTAAAGAAGAGGCGGCCGCCAAGCAACGAGACTTGGAGGGCGGTAATGTCAATGTAGGCATTGAAGGCGCGCCATGTGTATGCGCGTATGGCGTATGCGACAAGAGTCGCGAACAGGCGGTTGAAGTAGAAGAGGAAGAAAATGGTCAGGATGCCGCATATGAGCAGTTCAACGAGGAAGATCCTGCGAGCGTTAACTTGGGTTTCCGAGCACGCCCGCACGGAGGGCTCACCAGTTGAAGCCGTCGCGGGGATCCAAGGGCTCCGCGACAATTCCCGCCATGATTGCAGCGCGTTTTATGGCAAAGTGTGTGTGTCTTCATGGCGCCATAGGGGAGACGACGGGCAATGGGCAGCTGCAGTCAGTATGCATGGGACGAGTGGGCTGGAGCGGCGCCAGATCAACGGGGCGACATTGGTCTCTACGTGCGCAATCTTTTTCTGTGATATAGGTATGTGTATACGATTATCGCAGCAACGAACAGTGTGTATCAAGTAGCGTTGGGGATGGCGCTACCTCGGGATCCAAAGAATGGAGGCGTCGATGCGCGTCATGGGCGACGTGCAGGGGGGGAAGAACAAGCTTGGGCCTCTCTGCTCCTCCGCAAACCTATTACCACAGCACCGCGGAGGCGAGACGTGCATAAGACCAACAACGCCTGGGCTGCGACCTGTACTGCACGCCATGGTAGTTCTCCGCCGCTAGCATCACCTTTCTTCTTCCTCATCTTTTTCTCTTGAACTTCTCTCGGCCTCTTTTTATTGTCCTCTGTGGTAGCTCTCACGACTACCAACAAACAATCCCCACGCCTCGTTACTATGGACGCAGGCAGCCTCCACCAGGGCCTTGAAGCCGATGGCTTCTCCTCTGGTGGTACTGGGGCTCGCTTTGCACATGCAGTAATCATAGTGGCCGGTGTCTGCGCCCTCGTAGCAAGTCTGGTCACTGTCGTGTAGGTTGCAGTGCAGTTTCTCCATAGTTGACTCCCACTGACGTAGCTATAGTGCTGTCTGGTTACAGACGTGAGTAGGGCCCCTCCAGTTCTGGGAAGCCTATACTAACCCACATGTAGGAAGAACTACAGGAAGCCAGTGCTACAAAGATATGTCGTCCGTATACTGCTTATGTAGGCTTCATTACGCGTCTGCCTTGTCCTTATACTGAACGTCCACAGGGTGCCAATCTACTCGGGCGCATCATGGGCCAGCTTGGTCTCCACTACGGCAGCAGCCTACGTAGAGCCCTTCAGAGACGTTTACGAGGTACCAAGATCACTGTCGCCCTGATTCGCACACACTGACCAGTCCAGGCCTTCACAATCTACACTTTCCTCCAACTGCTTATTAACTTCATTGGCGGCGAGCGCGCCCTCATTATCCTCATGACCGGTCGAGCCCCCGTCTCCCACCTATGGCCACTGAACCTATTCTGCTCCAAGATTGACATCTCCGACCCGCACACGTTCCTTGCTATCAAACGGGGTATCCTTCAATACACATGGGTCAAGCCGCTGCTGTCGGTGGCCACCATCATCATGAAAGCCACGGGCACATACCAGGAAGGTTATATTGGCTTAACTTCGGGCTACTTCTGGAGTGGCATGATCTACAATATCAGCATCACAATCAGTCTGTATGCGCTCGCCATGTTCTGGGTCTGCATGTCCACGGACCTCAAGCCCTTCCGTCCCATGCCCAAATTCCTGTGCATCAAGGGCATCATTTTTGCTTCCTACTGGCAAGGCTTTTTCCTTTCCATCCTCGTGTTCCTTGGTGCTATCCCAGATGACGTCGCCGGTTACACTCCTGACAATCTAGCTGCTGCTATCCAGGATGCCCTCATCTGCTTCGAAATGCCCCTCTTTGCAGTGGCTCACTGGTATGCCTTCTCCTGGCACGATTATGCCGACTCAACCATCTCAGCCGCAAGGTTGCCTGTCAAGTATGCACTGCGTGATGCGTTTGGTCCCCTCGATCTCATACAGGACACCAAGGAGACTTTTGCGGGCAAGCATTACGAGTATCGGTACTTTGACGCGCGTGACAATGTGCTTGCACACGAGGAATCTTCATCAAGAGCTGCACGAATGGCTGAAGGAATGCGCTTCGAAAGAGGAGGCAAGGGCAAGTACTGGATTCCAAAACCTGGACAAGGCTCGGAGCATGAGCCTCTGCTTAGCAAAGTCACGTCGAGTCGCGCCCGAGCAATGAGCCCTGGACCACACAAAGCTCTCAATGGCGAGGGTGCCAAGTACGGGACACCTGACGTTGTAGAAGAACCCGAACTAGACGCTGATGAAGAGCGACTCTATGAAAATGCACGTGAGCTAGAGTTTGGGGACTGGAATGTAAGTAGGCAAAATCACCAGAATTGCACATTTGGCTGACTTGCACACAGTACCCCGTCATCGAAGCGCATCGGCCATCACGCGAAGACCGCTTATACGCAGATCCCAACATACTGACTGCATCCACCAACCGCAATCTACTACAACCAACCAAGGACCACAAACGAAGACGGAAAAGCCAGATCAAGGAGATCCAATCGTCTGTAGACAAGGGCAAGCAGCGTCGGGGGTCGAGCGCAGCAGGGTCGTCACGCTCAAAGTCACCGCATTCCAAATCACACGCCCCCTTTAGCCACCTTCTGCGTCAAAAGTCATCATCATCGAGCTCTGCCAAGTCGGACCGGACGCAGCTTGTGGACTTGGTTGTTGAAGATCGCCAAGCTGAGGAGGTGGAGCGGGTGCGCGCACGGAAGGAAGGAGGCCCAGGATGGAACGAGGTTCCGGCAAAGCATTTTGTGTAAGTCTAGACTTGAGGCAGACATGGTGCAGATGACTGACTTTTGTTGCAGCCACACGTATCCCAAGGAAGGTGAGACGGAAGAGGTGCGAGAGGGCTTCAACCCTGATGAGCCGGAGGCACACAATCCCGAGGCGGAGCACAATCTGAATCGGCCGTTTGCTGTGGACGAGCAAAGCGAGGAGGAGCAGCGGGAGCAAGACATCAAGCCGCACGTGACGAGCGAGGCCAATCATTGGGAAACACGCGACGTCAGTGAGCACAATGAAGATGAGGAGGACCGGCTCAGCCCGTCATATGGTAGTTTCAGAGAGGAGCGGAATGCTTGGAGCCAGAACTAAGGGCGCATGTCACTTGTTCCAAACGCGATGCATATGCCAGTCGATCTTGTTTCATTCCAGGGTGGGTTTGGGCATGAGGATAGGTGTTATCGGCCTTGGAGGGTTTTCTGTTTGCTTTATACCCGATGTTAAGTTCGGTGCGCATCATACATATGGTTTGAGCGGTGGGTTTCTGGCGCGCGGAGTCAATGGCGTTGGTGCAATACATAATTGAATCTATCTTTCGACACGTGGGCTTTCTGGTACGGGTGTGGATAAGTCACCGATGTCACCCAAGTATTGGATTGGGAGATTCCAAATGCAGCACAGACGTTTCCTGATTAAGAGGCAGGCCCAGTTGGCGAGCCGTATCTGGATGCCGAAGTAACCATGTGTTGGAGTGGCTTGCGCCGCCTGGAAGCAGGCCCGCCAAGCCATGGTGTCTGAGATGGTGATTCGGCAGTTGATTGCACCTGTTGAGATGTCCAGTGTTTCAACGTCTGGCCGTCTTCACCAATGGCGGCATTATGTTTCGAGGGCATTTTGGCTGATATGGGCGATGGCAAGGTGGATTGGCCGTGGGCCATGTGTGTATGCATGCAGGACGGGAGCGAGGCTAGCGTCGAGTGGCGCATCTGCATCTTTGCACATGTGGCAGACACACGCGAGGCGGGCCAAAAAACTATGGAGATTGCCGTCGCGACGAAGCTTTTGGGTCGGTCCCCTCCCAACATCACGATGATCACCCGTCATCGCTACAGATCGCACTACGTGCTCAATGCCAAACACTACCGGCCCGTTGCGCCCCGCACGTCTCAGAGGTTTATGAAAATAGACCTTCGGTGTGGGACTTCCGGGCTCTCAAGCTGCGACAAAGCTGCGCGCATACTCTTACAGGCCCGAAATGAAGCAGCAACCTCAAAGGCCACGCCAACCAACGAGGCGCATATCCCATCAGGCCAGCCAGCCCTTGGCTGTGTCTTTTCTCGCGGTTTCGGTCCGCAAGCGCTATTGCTTCTTCACTGGTCCACACAACGCTGCCACTTCTTCCCGCTATGCCTTGAGCGCTTAACCGTTGGTCCCTCTCAACCAATCACACGTCACTCTGCCTTTTTGGTACCTTGATGCCAGCAAGCCTCCATGCGAACTAACATGTGAGATTAATGATCGCCATGCCGGGTATGCACTGCTATTGGGCCCATGTATACACGAGAGAGCAGGGAGCAGGCCTCAATCTATAATATGAAAGCAACTGTCGTCCCGTGGCCTGCGACTGGTTTGCTGTTCTTGAGGGCCCTGGTGGACCTACAAGGCTTTGAAGCAAAGGACCACTCAAGTCCAAGGACAACGCATATTCTGTCAACGGTTCAGCCTCTTTTATGCCCCCTGCCTCTTTTGTTCCATCGTCCTTCCCCGCTACTCTTTCTTTTTTTCCTCCCAACCCTTTTTTTTCTGTCATTTTTTTCGGTCTGGTAGTGACTAGCTCCATTAGAAGCGCGTCATTCTTCCAGCATCTCATCATTATTGTTGTTGTTGCTGTTTTCTGCTCAACGGTTCTCTCATTTAATTCGGACAATGGGTTACTAGCTGCACTGGTTTGCAAGCATAAAAAGAGATATACATCACGGGACACGAAAATATGCACGAGAAAGAGCAGAGCTCGCCATGGCTGGCCATCAAGTTTGGATGCTGTGCATCCAAGGAGGATGTTATTGATGAATCGAGGGATGATATAAGAGGCATTGGTGGGTTTGATCATGCTCAATGTATACAGTACGACACTGACGTTCATCAATCAGAAGAAACCGACATGCGCATCTGCTATGAGCAGCCTCGTGCTGTGCCCCAGCCCTGTGCTGAGCCAATACATGCGCGTCCATCAACAAGTCAGTCGGTCAGCCGACACGTCTCACAATGGGTGTCAAACAGTCGTGATTATGCCACACGTGCCTCGTCTCGCACCAGCATCTCCACCCTCGCACGACCTAGTCGCTCGCGAGCCCGCCCTAGTATCAGCCGTCCCACTAACTTTCGACACTTTGACGGCCTTGATGACTTCCCCTCGATGCTCGACGATGCATCCATGCCCGTCCGTCGTCGTCGGAGCTTTCGTCCTCTCGAGCTCTCCATCTACCTACCCAATGGCTGTGGTCGTCTCTCTCCGTTGCCAGACTTTGGCGATGAAGAGTACTGGTCCAATTTGCCGTCACAGCTCTCCCGTCCTCAGGAAGCCCATGTCCGTGTAAGGGACTCGCGTACGAGTTCTGTGTCCTCGGAGCCTTCTTCGTCTTCCTATCTTGTCCAACGCAAACCTGTTCGTACCAACTCCGGACGCACCAGTGTGCAGAGTCAACACAGCACTGTCACACATGAAAGGAGATTGTCTGGAACTACCATGGGCACCATGGCCACGCCTACACTTGCGTTTCTACCTGAAGATTCACCTCTTCCAGAGAACCAAGTAACCGATAAGCCCTCCATCCGTCGTTCACGCACTTCCGGTACATTATCACCAGCACGCGTCCTCTCACGCCTACCCTCCCCATCTCGTGCTCGTGCCAACACCGCGCCCTCCCGTCCTGGGAGCATCCGGCGCACAAAAACCGACGTCGACGATGCCATCCGCGAACTCAACACCATCGTCGAAGAACGCCGCGCAAGCGCCTACCGCTCCCAAACCCAAACTCCATCCTTGATCAACCGCCCTCCGCCCTCCCCCTCCCACCACGTCCCCTACCTCGCCCCCTCAATGCGCATGCATGTGCGCTCTGAGACGCTGTCTGATATCGGCTCCGCCTTCTCGGCACCTCTGAGTTCCAAGGCTCTCCCCTGCACCCCGGAACCTGCCCGCCGAACCACCTTGGGTCTCAGCCTCGCGGTTCCCCCGCGCCTTCACACTGGCCCTCTGACTTCAAACCCTCCCACCCCGCCTCCAGCCGCAACACCCACAACCCCCATTGCCCGGCTGGGCGCTTGGCTCAAACGCTCCACCTCGTCTCTCGCCTCAAGCGCAACATCCCTACCCACAACACCCAAGACAGTAGCCTCTTTCTACAAGTGCGAACCTTCTAGTCGTCCCGGTCTCCCATCATCTTCTGCTTCCTCCAACCTCTCAGACCGCACCCTCCACACCCGTCAAGAATCCCACGGAAGCACCTCCACCACCACCCGCCCCGAATCCCCCATCTCAAGCATCGCCACCACCTCTCCGCCCCGCAAACTCCGCCGCGTCCCCGCTCCCTTAATCCTCGTCGAAGACAAAGAAATCCAAATCGAAAAAGTTGTCCTTACGCCTGGTACGGCGAGTACGCGGGCTGGCAGAGGTTGGAATCCCACCCCGCCTATGAGTCCGAATAGGGATTTACTTAAAGGAATGGAGATTGTGGCAAAGGATGTTAGTGCGGGCGGGAGGTGGAGTCGGCGCAGCTTTTTGAGGAGGGAGGGGGCTGTTGGTGTGGCTTTTTAGAGCATGTTAGGTGGATGAGGTTGTAGTTAATTCTTCTTTCCTTCTTGTTTTCAACTTTTTTTCTCTTCTATGGGGACGGAGGGGGAAGCGCTGGGGGGTGGTTGTGTAGATGGGCGACTCCCTCCCTCTTCCCCGAAGGATTTTTTTTTCGAGTTTAGTTTTTTTTTGATACCCAGGTAAGACATTGGATTGGGGTGTGGATGGTGGGAAACAGGCTTCCTCTTTCTCTCTTTCTTTTTTTCTTTTTCGGCCATATGTCGAACCACTTTAGATATATACCCCTCTGGTTTCGGTTGTTTCCTCCTTTTCTGTTCTGGGCTCCGCCAAAGATGGTCTGTCTTTTGGAGGGGAATAGAAGGAGATGTGGATGGGGTGGATAGGATAGTTTAATATGACTTTTTTGTCTAGATTTTTGGGGTTATGGTTATGTCATGTGTATTCTCCTTTACTGTGATGTTGGGTTTTGAGGGCGTGGTTGCGTAGAGGCATTTTTGCTGTGTTGTCACGAGTGTGGAGGTTAGATCGGAAGATGAGAGGGACATTGGTATGTGGTAGAGATGGTGGCTACGCGTTACACGCATTCACGTAGAATTCAAAATCTCCCTTTCATGTAGAAATACGACAGATATATGAGAACCATGGAGTTTATAAATCAAAAGTGTCGAAATAGTAACATTATTTAATTTCAAATTTATTGCACATACGAAGGTGAAAAGTTATTGGATTATTTTCTTCGAGTCCAAACACATATACTTAGACTAAAGAAATCTTACATCATACCTCATTACTACATTTAAGTACTAGTCCATCATCTTCACATCTCCAGCCCTTTCTTCAGTGAAAATATCGATTTCATCATCACTTTCGTCTTTACATTTTTCTTCAATATAAAAAATCCCCTTTATACCCAAACAAAACATTGAACGCATACCCACGAGTACACTTTACATTATCGACACTCAGTAAACGTTCCAGTGCCACATCCTCTCTAGACTATGAGAAAGAAAGGACACGTTAGATTCTAAATCAAATCCTAGTATCTCGAAATCTCCAACTTTCCCGTGGTGCAAACCGCTCTGATGTCCAGCCTATCGTACCCACCAAAATCCAATAACGCCACAAAAGCCAGCTGTGACATTCTCAGATACCGCCTGAGTATAGTAGCGGTCTGGGAGGGCTGAAAGAAAAAAACACGCCAGCTATTTCTATCATATAAGGTACGTTTTGGATGTCAGGGCGTCAGAAAGCGCTAGACCCAAATAGGTAGGAGGTAAAGAAGATAGACACAGCTATATGCATTGAGATGAAAGTAAGACCGAAGCCACACTTGAATGCAAGAACAGGGGTGGGCATTCATGCGTTTGAAGCAAACAATGATGAGCACCGTCATACCCACATCTGCATAAGTAAACAAACCGCAAAAGCAAAAGAATCAAGACATCCCAAGATCCTCATCCTACGCCAAAAACAAAAGGTAAAACGCACGTGCGAACCGCGCCATCCCTAGATCCCGCATCTCACCAAACACCTTTCCCTCTCCCGCACCCACGTGCCCTACTTTCCAGCACCGCAATTCGCTACAATCAGATCTCGCATGCTTCGGCCATCGCCGCCAGCATGCTTTACTGCTTTACTTTAAGCTCAGTTCAGCACTTTTGTTCAAATCTCCCACCCCTCAAGCGGACCAATCACTCTTGTCACCTTCCCAAAGCGGAAAAGAGGCGTCGCGGGGGACCGCAAGTAATCGGCGCGGATAGCCAATCAGCACGTCGGGATAGCTACACGTTGCTGGGTAAGACGGGTAGGATTTCTTGTGGTAGTGTGTCCATGGCTGCGGTTTGAGAGGCAAAAAGTACACAGTAGTTTAGTATGATGCGTTTATACTGTTGCTGTTGGAGATGGTTTAGGGTCAGGGGGAGGCAATTGGGGGAGGGTCCCGGGGAGACCGAGTTAGTGGTGGGGGTCAGCAGCGGAGGTAGGTACCATTGTGGTGATAGTAGGCAACGACAAGGCCCGCGGCTAGTAGTCTACCGTGTAGGACCGGGGTTTCTTAGGAGGCGGGTTGCTTGGTGTAGAAATTGAATGATAAAAACGGGTTAGAAGTGACGGGTGTATTTAAGGGACATGGGGGCAAGGCTTGTTCTAGAGAGAGGTTTATAGCTGGGACTTCTCACTTACTCTCTCTGTGTGTCGTTCGTTCCCTCACTCGCTCATTCGCTATCTCAACAGCACACCGGTGCTTGTTGCTTTTGCCCAGTCAACAATGGCGTCTCTGACCCGCTTACTCGCCTTGTCGGCATCTGTCGCTACCTCTACGGCCCTTACCATTGCCGAGATCAATGGCGCGAAATTCATCTCTCCGTATAGAGATCAGACCGTGTCTAATGTCTCTGGTATCATTACCGCAAAGGGTCCCGATGGTCTCTGGCTGCGCTCTACAACGCCTGACCGCGATGAGCGCACATCCGAATCGATATACATTTTCGGACGCACATTCGGTAGCAACCTGACTGTCGGAGATACAGTTGTCGTGGGCGGCAAAGTCACCGAATTCCGATCCAACAAGGACTACATTCCCATGACACAATTGTCTACTCCAGTACTGCAGAAGAAACTGAGTTCGGGAGCCAGTGTGCAGCCTTTGGTCATTGGAAAGGATACGCTCAGCCCGCCGGATAAGCAATACAGCAGCCTGGATGGTGGTGACGTCTTCGCCGTGCCGAACAATGTTAGCCAGATCAGCGTAGCAAATCCTGAACTCCAACCCAAGAAGTTTGGCCTCGATTTCTGGGAAAGCTTGATGGGCGAGTTGGTTACCGTCAAGAAGCCCACTGCTCTGACCAAGCCAAATCAATTTGGCGACACATGGGTTGCAGGCGATTGGAAGGTTTCTGGTCGCAACAGCCGTGGTGGATTGACTATTACGGACAAAGATGCCAACCCAGAGGCCATCATCATCGGTACGCCTCTGGATGGAACCAATAACCCCAAGAACACTAAATTTGGTGATTCGGTCGAGGAGATTACTGGTGTTGTTAGCTATGCATTCGGCTTCTACCGTATTCTACCGAAAACGGCCATCAAGGTGGTCAGCAGCCAGACGCCTGCTCTTCCATCTCCATCCAAACTCAAGTCGAACGGAAAATGCGACGGCATTACTTTTGGCGCGTACAACGTGGAGAATCTCGCGCCAAACTCGACTCACCACCCTGACCTCGCAAAACACATTGTCAATTACATGAACAGCCCCGATATCATCTTTGTCCAGGAGATCCAGGATGACAATGGCCCAACCAATGACGGTGGTAAGTTTTTTTTTCAGCAAAATTGCGCAGTCTATCCTTTGTTCTGATTCGCGTGTTGTGTTGCGTTTCACTGGTTTGCACAGATGTAACGTTGCACCCAGCTTAGACTGAGGGCACCTGCTTTGTTGTGACACTGACCTCGTATAGTTGTGTCCGGAAACCTTACGTTGACGACGCTCAGCGCTGCGATCGCTGCTGCAGGAGGACCAAGCTATTCCTTCACTGAGATAGTGCCGGTAGATGATCAGGATGGTGGTCAGCCAGGAGGTAACATTCGCACCGCGTACTTGTACAAGGCCAATATTCTCCGTCTCTACAAGCCAAATCCGGGCAGTTCTTTGGACGCGACCGAGGTAGTTGCTGGTCCTACACTCAAATACAACCCTGGTCGCATTGAGCCTACGAATGCTGCGTGGCAAAACAGCCGAAAGCCGTTGGTTGCGCAGTGGGAGGTTATCGAAAAGGCGAACACGAAGAAGCCGAATGTATTCTTCACCGTCAACGTGCACTTTGGATCAAAAGGAGGAAGCAGCAGCATTCACGGCGACGCGCGACCCCCAGTAAATGGCGGCGTTGGTAAGATCGTCGAAATAGAAACGAGTGCGACAATCGCTGACACTGCAATTTAGATGATCGCCTTGAGCAATCACGTCTAACCGCCAACTTTGTCAAGGTATGTTTAAGGATGATCTGCGGCTGTATGGTACGACGAAGGGCAAACGAGGGTGGCTGCAGCATGCTTCCCGTCTCTTTGTTCCTCGGTAGTACCAGCAACGCCACCTTTGCACAGAAAGACATGCACTTCCCCTGGACAATCCGTCTATAATGTGAACTTGCAGCGAGACTAACGATGGAATAGGATATCCTTTCGCAAGATAAGAACGCTCGCATCGTTACTGCAGGTGACTATAACGAGTTCGCCTTCGTGCAGCCTCTCAAAGAGTATGCCAGTATTTCAGGCCTCAAGGATCTCGACGCGGTTGTCAGGATTGACCCAGTCGAACGCTACACCTATCTGTTTGATATGAATGCTCAGGAGCTGGACCACATGTTTGTCTCGCCAGCACTAGCCAAGAAGGGTAGAGCTGAATTCGAACATCTCCATGTCAATACATGGCCAGATTTTGATTCGCAGATTAGCGACCATGATCCTTCGGTAGCAAGGTTGGATGTGTGCGCTTAGAGGATGCATGACATAATCTAGTAGGCGGTTAAATGAATACAACAGGCAACGCCGACCCTGAGTCTGGCTGCGTTCCGTGAAACCCAAGCGCAATGAACCCGTGCATTAGAGCCTGTCGTCTATCTTTTTAGATGCATAATCTCCGTCTGTTGAGGTGGACAGTACACTATTAATATCGTGCGTTATTGCGGCGTTGTTTGTCCAGGGAAGTTGCTAATTTCAAGGCTGCGAAGACGCAAAGGCACGTTCCAATTGCTAACACCTCGTGCGGCGTCCCAAAGGGCATTTGGTGCATTACTATTGGTAGACGCCTCTTACATGCATCCAACCACGCCATATCAGTGCATCAACACGACAACGTATCATGTCAGCAAGAATTGTGGAGGGGTGTGGATTGGTGGGGAACAGGCGAGAGACTCAGCGGAGGTTTGCTGATCAGCTTGGAAATCCGTTGACGGCCACGCGACAAGCACATGGCTGATTGTGACGTTTGGACTTGCAGGGCTGCCCAGTGGTCCGCAAACCCAGGTCTTGGTTACATACCATACCGCAAGTTGGCTACGTGCGGTCGGCTCAATACCTGTCGCTTGCTCCGATACCGTGGCCCGGGTTTAGAGTGTGTGTAGTGTACAACATGGATCATGGCGCTCAGCTGCACAGTCGCGAGGAGGAGTAGCTTCCATTCTCCCGCCGACAAGGTGGGTAGCCAACTCCCCTGTCGAATTGCATGGAGGCAGTGTTCCATTTACCCGACGCAGCTATCTGGCTTTCGTCAGCCAGATCCCAGTAACCGCAGGCGGAATGGATTTCAACGACAACAAATGATGGCTTGGGGGCGGGGACGGTCAGGCCAAGTCCACGCTCCTAGTTAGCGCTGCCAAGCTTCCCCACGTCCCCAGATCCGACGTCAATGCCCGCTAGATAAGGGCTTTGCTCGACTACCACACAGTGCCGTGATCAAATGCCGTCTGTCTCAGAACCTCAAGAGACGGCGCGGCTGCTATGGCGGAACGAAAGCTAAAAAAAAGCTTCGCCCTTACCGGCTGAAAAACGTTGTCCTGCAGGCCTTCCCGTATCCGTGGTTCCATGTTGAGGGCGCTGTTGCCAAGGTCTTGGGAGGCACATTCACACGGCCAAATGGACGCATGGATAGTGCCGAGAGACTCCAAGTAGCGCCACCACCTAGGCGTTCTGGAACGCAGACAATGCCTAATTCATCGCCTTGGCCCGAAAGCCGGAGTGAGCTCTAGCGGACAAATTGTTTTTGAAAGGCCCGTATGCCGACAGGTCCGCGCTCCTCGACGAACGCAATAGAAGCCCGAGGCTGAAACTTAATCTGAGGCTGGAGGCTTCGTCGGTGTTTGCCAGACACTAGACACGTTGTAGTCCATCTAGTATTGTGGACTAACGTATCGGCGCCATCCGTTGGTGGGTATCGGTGCGACAGATTTGAGATTTGTTCAGACATGGTGGTGGTACTGCAGCCGCTACGGTGCTCTAGCGCCAAGTCAACGTGCGCCGCGATCATCATTCCTTCGTGGGCGTCCGCCACAATAGGACGCAGGAATTGATGGGGCCAGCTAAACGCGCCGTCTTGACCCGTTCAACCGCCCCATGGGGTTCCGGGGGGCACTAGCCAACCTGGTCATGTCAACCCTAGCAGAGGCCTATCTCGTTTCGAGGCAACACACACACGGTGTGTGCGAGCCCGGGTACATATAGACCCTTGACTGCCTCTTTGGCCTGCGTCCCCCAGTCTCTCGTACTCCCTCCCATCTGCGACAAAAGCAACATGGCAGCTGCTCCAGACCTCAAAGCCCTCGAGGCTAACGAGAAGGGCGAAGACATCTACACCAACGATGTCAACAGCTCTCAGGCTAGCACTCCGGGCGACATCGATGAGTACCCAGATCCAGACATAGGCAAGAGCGATGAAGAGCGTGCCAAACTCGTAAGAATAGCTTCTTAACCTGCCTATGACCATGACTGATCCGTATCCTAGGACAAAGCACTCGTCTGGAAGATGGACAAGTGGCTCATCCCATGGTTGTCACTCCTCTACTTGCTCTCCTTCTTGGACCGCACCAACATTGGAAATGCTCGTGCCGCCAATATCGAGCGGGACCTTAAAATGGGAGGCCGCGACTACAACCTCGCCTTGACAATCTTCTTCATTTCTTACGCCGGTTTCGAGCCGCTCACCAACATCGCCATCAAGAAATGGTCACCTCGCGTCTTCTTTACCGTCATCATCCTCACGTGGGGCGCCATCATGACACTGATGGGTGTTGTTCACAACAGAGCTGGTCTGCTGGCTGCCCGCTTCTTCCTCGGTATCGCAGAAGCCGGACTGTTTCCTGGTGTCAACTACTACCTCTCGTAAGGCGGAGCCTTTGTTCTAGATCAGACAGTGAGCTAATCTCGATATAGGTGCTGGTACAAGCGTCAGGAGCTTGGTTTCCGTGCCGCGCTCTTCTTTTCGGCCGCTGCGCTTGCTGGCTCGTTTGGTGGTCTTCTCGCTGCCGCCATTACTGAAATGGATGGTGTTGCCGGTTATGAGGGATGGCGATGGATTTGTGAGTTACCATTCTCTGCTGAATCGGAACACGGCTAATCTGTATTGCAGTCATCATCGAAGGTCTTATGACTGTATTCGTCGGTGTTTTCTGCTGGTGGATGGTGTTCAACTTCCCAGACACTGCGAGTTTCCTCTCTCCCGACGAGAAGTTGCGAGCTGTTCGTCGACTTAAGCTTGATGGACAAGCCCGGGCCAAGGTCGGAGGTATTGACCGCCGAGACGTCATTGCAGCTCTCAAGGACTGGAAGACATGGGGATACTCCGTCATCTACATGGGATGTCTCTGCCCGCTCTACTGCTTCTCCCTGTTCCTGCCAACGATTCTTCTTGGCATGGGCCACAAGGGTACCAAGGCCCAGCTCTTGTCCGTCCCGCCTTACGCCGTTGCCGCAGCCATGACCGTCGTTATTGGTTATGTTGCAGACAAGACCAAGAAGCGCGGATACTGCAACATGTTTGTATCGGCCATTGGATGCGTCGGTTTCGCCATGCTGCTCGCTACCACAAAGCCAAATGTCCAGTACGCTGCCACTTTCCTCGGCGCCATGGGTATCTACCCAACCGTCTCCAACACACTGACGTGGGCTTCCAACAACGTCGAGGGTTCGCTCAAGCGTGGTGTCATGGTTGGTGTCGTTGTCGGTTGGGGTAACATGAACGGTGTTGTATCTTCCAACATCTATGACCCCAAGGAGAAGCCACACTACCGTACTGGTCACGGTATTGTCCTTGGTTACATGGCCTTGTTCCTTTTCGGCGGAACTGTCTTCATGCACTTTGCATTGAAGCGTGAGAACAGCCTCAGGCTGGCGGGCAAGCGCGACCACTGGGTCGAGGGAAAGTCTGAGCAGGAGATTGCTGACTTGGGCGATATGCGACCGGACTTTATCTACACCACCTAAGTCGTTTTGAATATGTGGTTATAGTTCTTTTAGCGACCTGTCCTGTATGAGCGCCTTTGACATTGTTGAACGTACAACGATACCCGCGATATTGGGTAGTCTACCTGGGATCCAATTCGCTCGAACGAAGAATGATAGCATAGAAAGAGAAAGTGTGTATATAATGGGGTTCATTGTACAGGAATCAAAAGCATTCGTACCTTGAACTATTAGTGAGCAGCTGTGCACATGTTATTGGTGACTGTTACCCGGCCGAGAGCTTGTGAAATGTAGAGCCGGTGGCGTGAATCTCACTCTTGATAGCGTCGGTGGCAAATCCAGAAGTGCTGATGGTATGAGAGGAGATGTGACATGTGAGGTGAGTCACGGCCGCGGATGGATATCAACAAGGCAGTGGCGTCACTCAGGTTGAATGGGAAGGAGCACCTCACAACACATGTCAGCAACAGCATGCATAGTACTACTCTATATATATACAATAGTCCTATGTGGTCCAAGTTTCCCACTTACCCCAGAGTATCCACTTCCCTCGTATGATCTGCACCCTTAGCTTTTACCTGGCCAGACCGCGTCCCGGGACTGCAAACCCACCTTGACAGTGATCGTCGAGACACTTTACCGAGGTTTTCACCGCTTATTGTTAGTAGTAAGCGCGAAGAACAACCTGTCGTATTGCTATGAATTCCTTGAAAATTTAAAATCCCGATTAGGGACAGGGCATATCGTACAGGAGACTAGTATTAAAGTTAATATACACAAGATGGCGTCTTTGGCTGGAATTACTCCAAACGCCAGATGTACATCAATAAAACCCCATACATGGAAACTTTCTGTTCCAGTAAAATGGTCCCCGCTACCCACATCAAGTCCACATGCACACTTCCCAGTCCACCCTAACCCATCAGACCCTCCCCTCCGCCCTGTCCCAGCCTCTGTTTCTGCTCTTCCCTCTGCTGCTGCCATAGTATCCTCCTCTGCCTCATATCTTCCATCAGTGTTCTTATATCATGGATGAGCTTGTCAGCTAGATACGCCCAGTCACATTCCTTGTGTTTCGCGTGCCTGGAAGAAGCGCCTCGGGAGTATTGGTACCTGTTCGTCGAGGGCTGATGCAGCTGGTGGTATGGCGAGGTGGTGAAGTGGTGGGTCGGGAACATAGTCGGTGGTGGATTGAAGGTGTGCTCCACGGGATTTTTGGTCAAACAAGTCATGGATGTGTGAGAAATAAGGTATGTGTGTTACATTGATTCTTTTTGTGGAGACGGAATGATGTGGTACTTGTACTTGTATTGGTGAAGAAATGACAAACGATCCAGACACTTCAATTTCGTTCGCCATGTCCAAGTCGTTTGGTGGATGTTGCATGAGCAATCGCAATAACAGAGCATCTGCACACAGGTACATCCATCTACGTAAAAATAATACCTCCATCGATAACAATCGTCTGGCCTGTCATGTAATCACTGTCCTTGCTACACAAAAAACTCACCGTACTACTAACATCCTCCGGCACACTTGTCCTGCCCAGCGCGATCAAGTCTTGTGTGTACTTTTTGATCGTCTCGCCCTTCTTTGCCCCAGTCAGTTCGCCCAATTTCTCGTCAATCAGTTCCCACATGGCCGTGCCGACAATACCAGGTGCATACGCATTGACAGTAATTTTGTGCTGTGCCATCTCCATGGCGAAAGCCTGAGTGAGTCCACGGACAGCGTATTTGGAAGCGCTGTAATGGGAGAGTAGTGGAAAGGGTCTGAATGCTACAATGGAGGCTGCGCCGAGGATCTTGCCTCCGGTTCCCTGCGAGATCATCTGCTTGGCGGCGGTTGAGTAGCAGTTGTATACGCCGTAGACTGTGACTTGTTAGAATAAAGTCGATCAAAAGCTTTGTCAAGACGTACCATTTACTTCAAACATGCGCTTGAAGTCCTGTTCTGTCAGGTCAAGCAGGCCTTTGACCTGGGCGATTCCAGCATTTGCTACCATTGTGTTGAGCGGTCCCAACTCGGAAACTGATGCTTGTACTAAGGACTGAACCTCGCTCAAGTTTGATACATCTGCAGTGTGTACTACAGACTTGCGGCCTATATCCCGAATCTCTTTGGCGACCTGTTCTGCCTCGGACTTGTTGGCTGCAATGTCATTGATGCAGACATCGTATCCGTCATTTGCTAATCTTAGAGCAATAGCTTTACCGCTGTCGAGGGTGAGCCAGCTTCAATACATTTCACGGAAAAATTGGATAGTCATACATGCCACGCGCAGAACCTGTGACAATGGCCGTTTTTTTGTCGTTAGACGTGACAGAATAGTTCCGTGTCCATTGAGGGGCTTGACTTGCTACCCGCGGAAGAGGCGCAGCTCTTAGCGAGGCACGACATAGTGTTCCTACTGGGAGCCGAATGAACATGATGAGTATCTAATATTGTGGGAAACGTGGATGGATCAGCACTCAAAAAGACGGAACAGGTGCAAGATCAATTGGAGAGTGGGAGAAGTGTTCAGGGCAGTAGATCAAGTTTTATTGAATGTACGTCGTATACTACTCTTCTCCGCACGTACAATACGGAATGGCCATGTGAATTACCCGGATATGCGGAGCCTGGGCACCACACGCATCACCCCTCTTGTAGTGCCCTAACACCTGCGTGAGGGGAAATAGTGTTTCTCATCCGGAATGACGTGTACGCAAACACCGTAGGAAGATCACGGGTTCAGTAGCATGGCTAGATATCTTGGTTAGGGCGCTGAAGCTAGCGGCAAGGCGAGGGGTACGTATGGGTATGGTGTTGAGGGGAGGCAGAGGTGCGGGGAACTTCGGGGGTGCCAAGCCATCAAGCTTCCGCTCATTCTTCTTTGTTGTTGAGAGCGAGTGGTAGCGATAACAACAGCATACGACAGACAAGGCCCAAGACACAACTACATGATGTCGCGTCAAAGCATGGCGCCGCAGCGCAATCTGTCGCTCACAGAAGAATTGGAAAAGTTAGAGCAGTCCATCACCCTGACGCTGCAAGGTAAACAAAGCCTCGTGTACCCCACCAACGCGACTGACGGGAGTAGAAATCGACCAGAACTTCAGTCGCGCACACCGCATCGTCACCACGGGTATTTTGCCTATAGTCGAGCAGTATGGAAAACACTCGGAAGCTGTGTGGGAAGGTTCCAAATTCTGGAAGCAGTTCTTCGAGGCCAGCGCCAACGTCTCGCTTTCTGGATACGAAGCGCCGGACCAGGACGAGTCCGTTGCGCATGACGAGGAGACAGAACAACCCCAAACGTATGAGGAAGAAACTGTTGAGGAGGAGGACGACGAGACCATGACAGGGGCGACAACCACACCACCACGACCGAGATCTGCCCAAGAAGAAGAGCCTGAATCGACTATCGGTTTCGACTCGCCCTCGCTCGGCCACAGCACTCCACGTGCGCCCCAGTCGAATAAGAAAACCATGCAGATGGAAGGAGACATAAGCGATGGCGAGGAAGAGCCGCAATTTGCTGAGATGTCATCGCCCTACGAGGCGCTCAGGGCAGAGTTCCAGCCCAACCTGGGCGACACCAAGACGCCCAAGTTGGAACCAGTCACTCCCGGCAAGGGTCAAACACTGCCAGATATGAGCGGCTTCGACTCTTCACCCTTCATGCAGCCAACAGCCACAAAACAACAATCATACATCAACCAGGACCCGTTGCTGCACCGCGTTCTTGACAAAACATACCGTGTGCAGGCGACGCCCATTATCAGCCCACGAAAATACAAGCCTACTGGCGCATTCACTCCTCGTGCTGCGCAGCGTGGTGCGCCCACGCCTCGGAGTGTTACCTCGAAGCTACCAGCTTGGACCGAAGACTCTTCGCCGCCCTCGTCTCCTGCCCCGCAACTGCGCGCGGACATTTTCTCCCCTATGAAGACACCACGAACACCCGGTGTGAGCGTGCAGACACCTGCAAAGGGCAAACATCCGATGAGCATCCAGCGGACAGGCGGGACAATCTTTGATGATAGCGACGAGGAGGAAGATGAGATTGAAATCTTTAGCCCTCCGAAAACAATTCAGTTCCATATCCCGCATAGCAAGCTTCTGCAAACGCCCGGTAAGTCTCGACACATTATCACCTTTGAGACATGACTGACAAATTTGTAGCCCGAGAGGCCAGTAAGCGCATCGTAGACGACTTGTTGATGACGGCCGGAGGAGACATAACAGAAACCACTGAAGGCATGGATGAGGACAGTCCGAGTGTGGTGCGAAGGCAGGTAGATTTTGACGACAGTTTCTAGAAGAGAAGTAAATGGCAGGCCACCAAATCCAGCCGCATATTGCGCATAGAGAGCATTTATACCCCACAATACTTCCATAGGGGGTCCATCAAACTGCCACTCATGTACTAGAACAAAGTCCCGACCGTGGGCCCCAGGTGTCTTGCATGTGATGATCCACAGTGTAGGGCGAGCTAGGACGAAGTGGGGGTTAGCGGCGGCAACCCCATGCAGTAGCTCCGTCGTCATTCTATCACAATTGCCATGCACCGGCTAAGCACACGAGAACACGACCGACCCTCAGTTCCTTTGCTCACCAAGTCCCCGCAATGCCGAAGTCGAAGCGGCCGCCAACATCGGGCTATGCCCGGATAGCCCAAGCTGAAGAAGAGGAAGACTCTGAGAGCGACTTCGAGGGTGACCACCACCAAAGCTCCCTGTCCAACACGCACTTTGCCCCTATACAGCCACATCGCAGTTCGGGTATGCGCATGAACGGCTCAGGGCCAAGCTCACCAAATTTCAAGAAAACACCCTCTGGACGAAGGCAGCGTGCCAACTCGGGAGTCGACATCAAGGCCATCAACGCCAGATTCGAGCGATGGGCTGACGAAATCGCGCAAAAGTTCAAGATCAAAAAGGGGAGCGACTCGGCAGAAGATGAACCCCTCGAGATACACCACTCCGTTTTTCAGGCCCCAGACTGGGTACGACCAGCAACAGCCGAGTCCCTGACGTTCGACTACGACGTACCATCCGACCGTATGACCAAGCTCGAATTCGATGATATCGTAGAAAGTGTCAGGACGGCAATTGATATGAATATGCATCCAAAGCTCATTACACAGGGCAGTTCAGGCAGCTACTTTGCGCGAAATCCCCAGGGAAAAGTAGTGGGTGTTTTCAAGCCAAAGGACGAGGAGCCCTACGCGTCTCGGAATCCGAAATGGACAAAGTGGATACACCGGAATCTGTTTCCCTTCTTCTTTGGCCGTGCCTGTCTCATTCCCAACCTCAGCTACATTTCCGAAGCTGCCGCATACGTCCTCGATACCCAGCTGCGCACCAATCTTGTGCCCTACACTGATGTCGTTGGTCTCTCTTCCAAGTCTTTTCACTACGATTTTTGGGACAGAAGGGCATACTACAGGAAGCGGAAGCCATTCCCCGAGAAACTTGGCAGTTTCCAGGTGTTTTTAAAGGGGTTCAAGGATGCAAACATCTTCCTCAAAGAGCACCCCTGGCCTGATCAGCACGGCACCGGATATAGCGGAGACAGGGCTGCACGGAAGAAGAAGCGGAGATGGGCGGAGGACTGCCGACCAAGCGGAGTCCAGTCTGACGGCGAGGATGAAGAAGAACAAGCCGGCATGATGGGCGAGCACAATCAACGGAGGGGCTTCTGGACACCTGCATTACAGCAGTCTTTCAGAGAGCAGCTCGAGAAGCTAGTCATACTGGATTACATTATGCGAAATACAGACAGAGGACTGGACAACTGGATGATCAAGATCGACCAGAAGACACAGCAGGCCACGATTGTCGCCGAGCCGCCCAAACTAGATGAAGATGTGGATGTTCAGGATCACCAACCGAGTGACTACACAAGACATTCAATGGAGGCAGCGGATCCATACGGAAGACGAGAGCTCATGAGTGCAGCCAGTCGATCAAATACTCCCAGACAGAGCGGGCCAACGCCTACAGTCACGATTGGTGCCATTGACAACAGTTTATCCTGGCCCTGGAAGCACCCCGACGCAGTAAGTAAATATCTCTGAAGTTTTGACTACGCATGCAGCGAGCTGATAGAATTGCAGTGGCGTAGCTATCCCTTTGGTTGGCTCTTCCTCCCTGTTTCACTCATTGGACAGCCCTTCTCCGAAGCCACCCGCCGTCACTTTCTTCCTCTCCTCACGTCGAAACAATGGTGGAGTGACACGCAGGCGGCTCTCCGAAAATGTTTCTCGCAGGACGCCGACTTCAAGGAGCGCATGTATGCCAAACAAATTGCAGTCATGAAAGGACAAGCGTGGAATGTGGTGGAGACATTGAAGACGCCCGACCTGGGCCCTCTTGAGCTTACAAGGAGAGCTCGCGTATGTGTGTGGGACGACATAGTGGAGATACCGATTGCTGTTCCACTGAGGGCGCCGTCGGCAGAGATGAGAAGACGGCAATCAGGCAGGCCCCCAAGGCTAGAAGAAGAGCATGAAGAAATGGATATTACGGCTGTTTCGACGCCGCCGCAGAAGCCACAGCAGGATCTCGTCATGAATTCACCTCCCCTGGAAACGGCACTCGAGAACCGCTTCAACCTTGCGCGGGGTGCTTCGTTGCTCGACGTACGCCAGGCTGATGGCCGCCCTAAATCGCCAGCGACTATAAACGACGTATATACGGGCTCACGAACCGCCGACAGGCATACAAATGGACGACCAGCGACGCAGTCGCGCATGAGCTACGAGCCGCCTCGTCGGCATGTGCGTGACAATCAGCATCATCATAGGCGACTCTCGCTCACGCATGGAAGAGATGTTGACGAGTATGGGTTCGACGACGACGGTGATCTAGGTTATGCTGCAAACGAAGACATGGAAGGAAACCAGAAAAAGGTGATTGTAGAACGACTGGAGATGGTCAAGGGCAAGAATCCGGTATTCACTTGGTGCTAAGCGGGATTCTGGCCGGACACTGGCACAGGGACATGTGTTGTACGAAAGGAATGATTGTTTTGCATGAAAGGCGTGTGAAGGATTATCATAGCACTAAGCATGGGCATGGGCATATTCCGTGGGGCTGCATGGGTGGCGTTTTGTTGCATGTTCAGGTTAGGTAGCAACATGGCAGTTGTCCCAGAAGGGGTTGCACGGCGTACCTTGACCCCCCACGTCTGGTGGTCATGTGCGTGGTACATGTTACGAGGTCAATCATCAATTATGACTCGGACTAGATATCTTGATCTATTCGAGGCAGTGCTCGCGCAACAAGAATATTTGACGGCCCTTTCTCGGCGCCATCCCCGCACACGTTTGTAGGCCATGTGATGGTGGTGGGCAGAGAAGACCTAGTCCACAAATATGGGATTGTTGAACACGCGTCGGAAATGACCGGCAGCAATTAGTGCACGCTGGTGGATGTCGATGGGTGTCGACTGAAATTGGACGTGTAATCAACTTGCAAGGAGGAGAGAGAGGGAGTTGTGGAGGCCAAGAATCGGCGCCAGCAGTGGCTTTCCAGCAGGCCGCTGGGTATGTAGGTAGGCACTCTACTACGAGATATTCTAGGAAAACATGTTCCTTGGACGCGCCAAGCATGCCGCCGTGGCTTCAAATTTAGATGCGGTAGGTAATAGATGGCGTAAGAGCAGGTCCGCTAGGCAATTCGATGGGCTGCATTGAGGCAGGTCCGATGTCATCGCTATCGCGCTGCGAACGCATGCACGGTCTCGTTTCAGGCTTTGGCGTCGTCGTACACACACACACGCACACGAGCGGAAGAATCGATGGGTCATCTGACATATCCATCCACACTCGCGCTAGGCCTCTTCCAGCCACACCTCAATCCACCCCCAACAGGCGACCATGAAAGGCAACAGCTCTTGACCCTGCGTGCATCGTTCAAAGAAGCAGGTCTTCGTATGACTCCCGGGCACCACACTCGTTGATGCCAGCCGCGACATTACAAGAGCTCAGCCGCCCAAACTACGGCCGCTTGACTTCAGCCATCGCAGAATCACTGCACAGCTCGAGTAGTCAGCATCACGCGACCTGTTGCAGATAGGGGTGCTTTACGCCGGGAATCTGATCAAAGAAGACCAGTGAAGGCGTCTGAGTGTTCAAGAGACGAATAAAGGGTTGACAAGCAACCTTTCCAGCGTGTTGTGGCGAACGTTTACTAGGGCTTGGCATCAGATGCGCTGAACCGTTGAGCATCACGGCGTCGTGGGAAGAGCTGGGAGACTCACAAGTGAAGTCAACAGGTAAAAGATAGAAACAGACGTCGGCATTTGGAAACTAGACACCATGAACCCAGCTCTATTACTTGACCCTACGGGGCGACGGAGAACAGGTACGTCTCGTCAGTTTCCTCAATCTACTTTTCGATACCTCTTCCTTCCACTTGGTATCAGTTTCCACTCAATCGGCTTTGGATATTCAAATATCTTCAAATGTCAAACACAAACTATGACATGGAAGCATCTGGCACAGGCCTGGACATGGTAGACGACGCGCACCCGGGTGCAACGTCATGGGCTTCACTTCTTGCGTCTGAACCTTATGAGCTTCTGTTTGACACACCACAACCAGCTGGTGATGATCTGGACTACTGCAACTCCGAGTTACCGGATTCCCTCACATTCACCGACCCAGAGCTAACAACGCACGTGCCAGGCGAGACCACAACTCACCATAACAACAGTCACGGAGCGCCAGTACCTCAGATAGCTCAGTTTGATCCTCGAGCACTACTCAACCCCAAGTCAGCAAATCCAAAGCGTCCAGCATCCTCTGGTGGAGACACTGATCGCGGCCGCATCGAGCCCAGCAACATCGGCCAGGTCGCACTTGTCGAGCGTTTGCACAACATCCAAGAGCGCACAGCATCGCCTGCAAAGCGGTTCAAAACCGGAGAAGTACAGGCCAACACTCCACATCGAACGAACTTTAGCAGTGGAAGCGCCCTTGATTTTCGGTACCAACAGAACTCTCCCGTAGTATCTTCACCGCAGCAAAAGCCGTCCATTGATTTGACCATGAGTGAGTACAATACTTTATGAACAAGAAAACAGGACTAACATATATCAGGTGACGACGAGGACGAAGTTCAGATAATTCAAGATAACAGTAATGACGAAGTCTGCATTGGCAAGCTCAAGCACACTTATATCCAAGCACATCTCGTTCCTTTCCCGGATCCCAAAAAGTTTGTCGGAAACCACGGCGGTCAGAGCCGAATCAAAGTCGCTTTTCGTAGGGCTGGCAACAAGGGCAATCAAATCATCATGGTCCTTGATGGCATGGGCAAAGAGTTTGGTAGGGTCGACATGAAGACGGCACAGGGACTTACTCCTCTCATTGATAGCGCGCATATAAGCGGTCTCAAGTGGATGGCCTGGACAGAGCCGCGTCGCAAGCTTCCAAACGAAGGACCACCAGGCAGCAGTACTTCAGCTCTGATTACAATGACTCTGCAGCTTTACTGCCCCCGCAAAAATGCAGATAATATCGGCAAATTTCTCAAGGGCAAGAACCTCATCCTCGAGCGTCCCGTTTTCGAGCTCGCGCGTCATGATTACTACAATCCGCAAACAAAAGAAGGATTCCAGAAGAGTCAAGCTTCACAGCCCGGTTTCGAAGCGCCTGCACCATATGCAGCCATGAATAACTACGTGGTCCGTAGCGTCGATGAGATTCGCCAGGAAGTGGACGATGTCTTTGACACGGTCGTCTCCAGCTCTGAAGCGGTACCGATGCGGAACCCGTCACCACTCATCAAGACTGAGTTGTACCCACATCAAAAACAAGCGCTTTACTTCATGATCGATCACGAAAAGGATCATTCTTCCGAAGAATTTGATCAACGTAGGGATCCGATGTGGACGACTAAGACTCGCGATAACGGCCGGATATCATACGTACATATCATCACTGGCGAAGAGAGAGCCCAGAAGCCAGCCCCAAGCCTGGGAGGTATACTAGCCGATGAGATGGGACTTGGAAAAACGCTCAGTATCCTTTCTCTCATCTGCGATGAGGCCTCCATCACTGCCGCTCAAACATTCAGCCAAAAGAAACCGCCTCCCCGCCCCCTTCCCGCCATGATACAGCCTATCATCAACACTCGAGCGACGCTTCTTGTATGCCCCCTCAGTACGATGACTAATTGGAAAGAGCAGATTAAGGAGCATTTCCCCGAGGGCAACGGTGCATTGAAGTGGACGCGATACCATGGAGCCGAGAGATTTTCCATGACCCCTGAGAAGCTAGCAGACTACGACATCGTCCTGACCACGTACCATATCATCGCCAAGGATATCATGGACAAGAAGCGTGCGCTTCCTTATCTCAACTGGTTCCGCATTGTCCTTGATGAAGCTCATACGATTCGTAACCCAACTAACCAGTCAAAGGCCGCTTGTAATATGATGGGCCAGCGGCGATGGGCTGTTACGGGTACACCAGTTCAGAACCGACTTGAGGATCTTGGCGCACTCTTCAACTTCATCAAACTGAGACCATTCGATACCACCGCAGGCTTCAACACGCATATACTGAACCCCTTCAAGAGTGCGGATCCCAATGTGGTAAAGCGACTGCAGCTCCTCGTTAGCACCGTGACCATTCGCCGCACAAAGGAGATCATCAAGGAAGAGGTGCCAAGGAAGCTCGATTATGTCGTCAGGCTGCAGTTTTCTAGGGAAGAGAAGCAGTTGCACGATTGGTTTGAGAAGGATACGCAGCGCAAGGTTCTTGCTGTTACCCAGGGCGACAAGATGGGTGGAAAGTCTTATGCGCGCATTCTCACGGCTATTCTCAACCTTCGCCTCATCTGTGCACATGGACGCGATTTGCTGAGTGAAGAGGCCTTGAAGACTACAGATGGCATGACGTACGATCAGCCCATGGAGATTGAAGATGACGGTCAGGAAACGCCCCAGCTCACGCGCCAACAAGCATACGAGATGCTCAACCTTCTCGAATCTACAAACGCAGCCGACTGCCACTACTGCCCAGGCAAGAAATCGATACTAGACGCTGACCCCGACGACGAAGACGAAGAAGGAAACGTCCAAGATGTCATCGGTTACATGACCACCTGCTACCACCTTGTCTGCCCCCGCCATCTTAAGAAGTTACGGGATCAGTGGAAGAGTCTTGTCCAACCCGACGGCTCTGTCCGCTGCCACATCTGCGACGACGTTAACCGGCCCGCTGCCCTGGAACTCAAACGCGCGGATTTCTACTCCTACCTTGAAGAGCAAGACCGTATCCGCAAAGACCCCAAGTTAGCCAAGAAAATAGGCAGTTACACCGGCCCCCACACAAAGACCCAAGCCCTTCTCAACGACCTGGATGAGTTCCGTCGCTGGAGCGATGAGCATCCCGACGAACGTCCTATCAAGAGGTATATTCCGCCACCATCCCCAAACCCTTCATCTAGATTATGTTCCACTAACACGCTACTCCAGCATCGTCTTCTCCTCCTGGACCACTCATCTTGACCTCATCGAAATCGCCCTCAAAACCGCCGGCCACGCCCTCGTCCGCCTCGACGGCCGCATGACCCGCGACGCCCGCGACAAATCCATGCACCTCCTGCGCACCTCCCCCGACATCCGCGTCATGCTCGTCTCCATCGGCGCCGGTGGCCTCGGCCTCAATCTCACCACTGCCAACAAAGTCTTCATGATGGAACCGCAATTTAACCCCGCCGCCGAAGCGCAAGCCGTCGACCGTGTGCACCGCTTAGGCCAGGACAGGGAGGTCACCATTAAGAGGTTTATTATGCAGGATAGCTTTGAGGAGAAGATGCTTGTGCTGCAGGACAAGAAGAAGGCACTTGCGGATTTGACGATGGCGAGGGAGAGGCGGAGTAAGGAGGAGGCGACCAAGGCGCGGTTGGAGGAGTTGAGGAGTTTGTTTAGGTAGAGCGTGGGAGCTGGGTGAGGTGATGGCAGCGGAATGGAGAGGTGGACGTGATGAGTGGCGGCACGATGACAACGAAATGAATCAACGAGGAAGTTATATGAATGGGAATATCATATACAACATCATGTTATCAGGGGTTTTATTCAGGAAACCAGGACATGAAGGACAAGTGGGTTTTGGAGGGGGGGTTTGGCAATAACAAACATACGACTTCTCCCATTCTAGTCGTAGTTTTTGTTTTCAATTGCTTCATTCTCTTCTCTTTTTCTTTAATTACAATGGTGTTTTGAGGCGTGTACATGGGCAAAGTTTTGAGGCGGTTGGGTGATGAGCGATGAGGTTTGAGATGGCGATATGGGAATCGGGGGGGTTTTGTGTATATGGGGCGGTCGGGTTGGTGGATTTGGTGCGTAAAATAGGCAAGCGGGCAAAGTGGCAACGGAAAAGAAAATCCCCATATATCTCTTTTTTTTTCTTTTCCAGATTTAATTCTAGGCGAGGCTTGCATGGTTCTAGTTATATATCTTACGTCTATAGATTTATTTTTCTCACTTGTGTCTTTTGATTGATGTGTATGAGAGATGTGTATGTGTGGGTTGCGTGCGAGAATAGTGGGTACATTTGGTTTGGCGAGTTATTGAAATGGGCTTTGTGGTGATTGCGGCGGTTGTGAGTATGAAGGGCTGTGGGTGGGATGTTGTAAGAAGCGGGAGAGTTGAATAGTTAGGAGGGTGTGGGGATGGTTGGATTGTGGGAGGCGCTGAGGAAGTTGCGGTTTGGCTGGGTGGTAATGAGATGTTCTTAGCTATTAAGGTGGGGATGGTGCATAGATGACGTAGAATTGTTGGAGAAATGCTAGTTCAACACTGATGCAATATTGTAGCGTGTATATGCACTATGGAGGGATCTGGTGAGGACATGTGACGGGTTTGCCCCGAGATTTACTTTGGAAACGTGGGGAAAATCGGTTGAGCTGCTTCGTTGACAGTATACTAGTTAGAGATCGATTCGGAACCACCCGGTAATGGTCATGCAGATGGCCGTTGGTTGAGAGTAGAGGTGTGTTAGCATAATGAGGGGAACATATTGTGGATCTGGTGCTTTGGGAAGGTTCTCATATTGAATAGAATTTGGTACATAGTGTTTGTCGATCGTTAAAGCAACCAAGATCGATACTACATAGGTCTAGGCGGATGAGGCGGGCTGTAAAACGGTAGATGTAACATTGCCCCAGGTTTGTGTCACAATCACTGCATCAATTTAGCAACTGCTAGCGAAAATGAGTAGATGAATTGGCATTTCGGTCAACGTTGGCAATTGCACCATATGCCAGCGATATCATGACTTATTCTTCTTCCTCGTACATGAACCAATCCCATGAAATATCTCGCGTTCGCCAGTAACCGCGATACAGCTGCTCTGTTTGCTGGCTGTTGTTTTGCAGCAAAGACGTGGCCCAGCTTCTTCATGCATGCAGATTGTTTTCCTGGTGATGCGAGCACATTGATTCTGGTGGCCAAGCCACTTGACACTCCATCGATGTTGGGCCTAGACTTACGGCGAGAGACTGTTCAGTTGCACTGATGATCCAAAAAGCCAGCTCAACTCCCGCTACGTGGACAGCTCCACCTCCGGACTTTTCCTGTCTCACTCTCATCGTCCGCGCCTACATATTCATCGATTGTCTTCCAATCCTGCTCTCAAAAGCTTTTCCTTCTTTTTTTGCTATTCGCCAGCGTCAAATCGGTTTCCGTTCCGCCCAGTTGAACCAACTCGGTCCATCACAAAGGCACTCTGAGTTGAATCAACTGCGAAATACTCCATTGCAATGTATCCTGTGATACCCCAGCGATATCGACGTTACGGAGGCTACCCTTCACTATACGAACCTCCCTCAACATTCGATAGCTCCAGATTTGGCTATTCTAGTGAGATGTCTAGTGGCCTCAGTTTCTTGAACAGCGGTTTGAACATGCCGAACATCGATATAGCGACCAATATCGAGCAAGCTACACGGCGACATGTCGATACGCAAAGGGAGTACGAAAAGACGAAGGGAAAAGTTTGGGGAAGCGAAGACGAAGATGGAAGAGTGTGAGAAGAAGATGAAGGATGCTGAGCGTTTGCTTTATTTTGCCAAGTACCAAGTACCAGGTTGGTGATATGAGTGACGGTATTAGTATGGGGGATGGCATTGAAAGCGAACAAGAGGGATGATATACAATCTGGCGACCTAGGGTCTTTAGGGATATAAGGCTACTCAGTACGATATGTGCGACCTCACATAATGTCTTTGTGCTTCTGGAAATCCATTTCTCACGTTTTAACACAGTGGTAATTATCGATGATGGCCGAAGATCCCTTTCGCGAAGTTCTAGTGATCGGGATTTGGATTTCTGCTTGGTGCCATTGCACTCTAGAGGACCAGATGAACGTTTCAGTGGTTGCAATTTGATCGTTGCGATGTAAGGTACATTGCCATTTAACTCAGAAGATGCGGTATCGTTAGCCCGTACGTCGTGTCCCTGTTCGTTTTGTGTGAGATGATGTTGTCGTGTTCATGTTGGCAATGGTCTAGAGTCATCATCGCATCTACTGGTATCTTTGCCTTGTAAATACCTAAGCAAAGTGCTATTTTATGATAAGCACGGGTTAACAGCGTTGCTTTCCAGAATTCTGATATTCATTTCGTTTATGTATGCTTTATCATTGAATAATCTCCCCAAAATACTTTCGTGACAAGATAACCACTGTAAGAGTAAGATTTCAGAAAAGGTTGGTTGGACATGGAAGGACATGATATCAATATTGCTCGCTATAGAATAAGGTTTCTGTACGACACAGCTTGAAGCGCCAATAAGCCGAGCTTGCGTTTTCAGCTTCGCAATATCGAATTCTAAAATCTCGGCCTAGATGAGCGTGGCTCTGAATGAACTCATCGGATAGGAACCGGACACTGGACGGGACCCTAATGCTATCCCCAAATATATAGCAGTCTCCACTAAGAAGTGTTCAGTTCTCAAATCGGTCTGGCCTCAACAAACAAGGCGCGTAGGTACCAGAGAGTATGCAAACTACGTCCTCTCGCTCCGCGCATGCAGATACAATTACCCCTTCTTTGTTGTCCATAACGCTGATCCTACATTGGTGGAGAGAGTCAAAGAAATGTCCAGCATCCTCATCGCGGATTGACACTAATAGACTTGGCTTTACTCACCATTCGTTAACTGCCTTTTAGATCTGACAAAAGGGTTCCTACTCAAATTCACAGTAGCCCAATACCGACTTAGGTGCAGGTAAAGTTCATTAGCATCTATAGTAGACAGAGCTGACTGATCAGCCAACTAGGTCGGTTATGCCCTAGCGCTATGACTTTTGCACTCATCATCCGTGATTGTTTTTCCAAGCTGATCAGTCACGTCGCAATTGTTTGCTATGCCATGCTCACCCGCAGTTCTTCCAGAATCACCAAGAATAGATAACAGTGTCTTGATCTGGTTCTTTGTGTCTTTTGTATCTGAGAACATGAAGACCTTGCAATTTACTTGTATACGTGCATACTCACATCCTGTAACACACAGCTCAGGACGTTCACTGCTCCCTTCAGTCAGAATCGGGGGAATCTTATGATTTTGATTGCTTTGAGAACCGAGCTTTGGCGCAGGTCTGGGGAATAACTCTTCTTCCAAAGACTCAGCCAGAAAATAATATCCATTGACTGGGTAATCTTGGGTCAAATCAGAAATCCATGACGACATGTCTCTCTTGTGTGGGTGGCGAATGGCGGTGAGTATTCGAAGTCCAAGAACTGGCAAAAGGAACGTTGCAACATCTATGAGACTTTGCTCGACAATTTTTGTATAATCGATCAAATACTCCATCTCTGACTGCGCAGGACCAATTGAAGATTTGAGCACGAAGATATTGTCTCTGGGATCAGTTGCCAAGCAATTTCGACTTCTGAATAAGCGATTCCATAGACTGAACTCGGGTGTTGTTTAGTTTTTTTAATGGTCGATAGATAAGTTCCAGAGGCAAAGGCCAAACGCGATCGGCCACACTACAACCTGAGCGATAACCAAAGTTCAGGTTTACGAGAGCATCAAAGGACATGCTAGAAGATTGTGACAGAGTCTTTCAATCATACTTCTTGTAGAACCCAGACTCTTTTGAACCACGGTCTTTGGTACAACGTCTGAAGTCCTTGAACAAGTTCTTCACTTGGCAACGCTCGATGGCAGCATCCTGTCTCCCGAACAAATCATTTGCCGTCGTCAGCTCCTCGAATAAGACACAGCTTCCTGGTGTATGTTCGCCAAGATACACCAGAATATTGGATGCGCGCCTGTAAACCTCATCCCTAATGCGAACTTGACAAGCTCTCTCTGCCATATCTAGCTGATTGATGCAAATAGCATCGATACAAACCAGCCGGTCCTCGTGTCTTAGCCGCAGGTACCGAAGAGCCTCGTGGCAATTCCTACGAGTTGCCATTCCCTGCCGCCATTCAATTCAATCTTCTTTGTTAGAGTGCTATTGCCCCAGGTGTAAGAAAGTGCCTTGTATTCGAGAGACGCGTCGGATAGTGATGCATGTTGGATTGTGCATGCAATAGGGCCGAATCGTTCAAGCTGGGATGCAAAGTGAGAATTCGAAGAGAGTCGTTGCTTTGCAGTGGCCGATATCGATGACAGCGCATGCTGATTGAAATTTATGGATGATTAGTTGAAAAGAGAAGTAACAGATTGGAAATTGGTGTATGTTAGCGATGTTTAGGCATCAGCTCTACTATGCAACTAAGCCCTTGGCTGCAGCTAGCAGGTGGGGTCATTTTAGCCTAGGCGTTACATACTTCACTGACTATACTTTTTAAATTGAGTAAGTGGGGCTACAACACTGCCACACTGTGGCATAAAACAAAACTGCAGCTGTGTGTCTGCTTTCACTGTTGCATTGAGGCTTCTTGAGCCTCTTTAGCTGCTTTCTCCCTGGCACAATCTTCTCAAACCACCCTCCCGTTCCCATCCTTGTCGACTTCCTAATGAATGTCAGACTTTTTCTTGTGACGAGTCGGGTGGCATTAACCAGCTTCAAAACGAGTATTTTGTGGAGGGGGCTTTGCTTCGCTTATTACTGTTACCATCACAAGAACTAACGTATTCTATCACCGAGCGTGCCACATCACCGAGTGTGCCACTTTTTCTTGGCATCGCGAACTTCACGTACGAAAGGCAATGCCTCAACA